TCCTTGGTAATATCAAAATTACTTAAGGGGAGTCTCCAGGGAGGGTAGTAGTCAAAGCTAGGGAAAGAAGAAGGTTGGGCCTCATTGGCTCAAACTATAAGAAACAGGGAAAGTAAGCAACAATACAGTAATTGTGTATCTGTAGTACTATTTTTGAAGGTAATGAATCTGGACAAAGACAATGTGATCTAAGCCGACATATAACCATCTCAACACAAAGGAATAAAAACAATCGTCAAGAGGAGACCGCCCTTATTCCTTTCTTTAAGAGCATAAAAAGAATGTATGCCACATCAAATGGGAGACTTGTCTAGTCCAGCTTTTTGTTCGTACAGTGGCCAACCATCTGCTCATGCAAGATATGACTAAGGTAAGCTTGTAAAAAAATGTATTGGGAACCTAATTTGAAGGCAGCTACAGCTGGAAAGCTTTGTGTTGGGGAAGGGTCAAGACTATGGCTTGAATCTGTTTGCAGTCACTGCCCTCTAGAGCTCAATTTCCTGATAAAAACAATAGACACTGGGTTCTTATTTCAAGCTTTCTATGTTCCATGAAGAGTAGCTAAAAAGAGAATCATCATATGTGAAATAGTACTGAGAAACTCGAGGAGAAACTTTACATCTAGACAGTTATCTGTGTTGTTGTTTTGTAAGAGGGCTATCAGAAATTGCAAAGTATTTGAACCTCTTCCATATCATTCAACTTGCCAGTGGATCTAAGGGTCCTTCCACACAACTCCATATCCCAGAATATCAAAGCAGAAAATTCCACATTATCTGAGTGTGGACTCGGATAACCCAGTTCAGAGCAGATATTGTGGTATTTCCTGCCTTGATATTCTGGGATAAAGGGTTGTGTGGAAGGCCCCTAAGGCCCCTTCCAGACAGCCGAATAAAATTTCACATTATCTGCTTTGAACTGGAATATATGGTAGTGTGGACTCGGATAACCCAGTTCAAGGCAGATATTGTAAGATGTTCTGCCCTGATATTCTGGGTTTTATGGCTGTGTGGAAGGGCCCTGACATAGCAGATCTGTCCCTGGGTCCTTCAACACAGGCATATAACCCAGAATATCAAGGTGGAAAATCCCACAATGTCTGCTTTGAACTGGGTTATCTGAGTCCATACTCAGATAATGTAGGATTTCCTGCCTTGATATTCTGGGATACAGGGCTGTGTGGAAGGGCCCCTTGTCAAAAATGCTAAGTTGTAAAGAAGAACTGCATGTGCTGTGGAGAAGAAGAGAATGCAACCATGCAGTTGGCTTGTTTTGCTGAAAGGAGTGCATGAAACATTCCTTTTGTTCAATGTTTTTTGCTCTTAGGCCCCTTCCACACTGCCCCAATATCCCAGGATTTCATCCCAGATTATCTGGCAGTGGAAATAATAATAATAATAATAATAATAATAATAATAATAATAATAATAATAACAATAACAATAATAACTTTATTCTTATACCCTGCCACCATCTCCCTGAAGGGACTCAGGGTAGCTTACATATGGGTCAAAAGCCCACAAAACATAAAAGCAAAATAATCACAATTAAAATAAGAGCGTAGTAAAATATAACAATCCAGATAAAAACACAATTAAATAAAGCATAAGAATTTAAAACAGCAAATGTTCAACAAAACCAATAATTAGCAATACAATGGACATGACTAGGCAATAAAAAGGGCTGGACATGGAATAGTACAAAAGAGCTATCATATAATCCATCTTAAAGCAGATAATCTGGGATCAGATCCTGGGACATATAGCAGTGTAGAAGGAGCCTTAGTTGCTTCTTCTCAAAGACTGATATTATTTCTATATAGCAATCAACAGATGTTAGAAAAGTGTATGGAAGAACCCTGCTCTTTTCCTAAGAAATGGGAAATGCCTCTGTGTACCACTGCACAAAGTCCCATTGGGAAAAATACAGTTAAATAGGAAATGGTTTAGGAAGTTTAATGTCCCCAGCTCACTGCATATTGCAATTTCCTAATATTACATAGTTGGCAATTTGGATGGGCAGGAAAGTAATCTTTTTAAGACCATGTTCTTGTAGAGCAAATGCATTGATTTTAACCAAAACAGAGGCATGTTTCTAATTCAGAATAGGTTGTGAAACAATAATTCTTGGTAATATGTACTGAGGTTTTCAGTAGAGAAACACAGAGCTAATGGAAACCTACCATCTTCCTGTCTGACCAATCTATCTGTCATTCCAGATCCTGAACCAGTTGTTGCATCTAGTTCTCGCATTGCATGCTTTTCATTATTAAGTCCACATGCACCTATTCTCCCAGGCTTTTAGAAAAGCTGAAAAATGATATTTGGCTCCATATACTTCAGGCAAAATAATCAGGAGTAGTCAATTCTGGAACCACCTCAGATACATCAGAAGGAGTTCTACTGATTTAGAAGTCCCCAGAAACCATTTTGTGGTCTACATGGTTTGTCAAATTCATAGCACATCAGCACCAGTGTCCTATTCTCCTGGAGGTTGCCATTGATGCTGTTTCACCAGCCAAAAGCAGTTCTCCAGTAGAGTCTTGCTGGCAATGTGTCTTCTGATGAGGGTGCTCAGAAATGGGATCACCAAAATCAATGTCACCAGCAAGGCTCTGCTGTTTGTGGCTGGTGAAACAGCAATGGGTCTTGTGTACACATGGACACTGATTCTAATCCAGTTGTCAACATATGAAAAACAGAGAGTGCAATTCCAAAGTGTCCTAAAAGCTCAGATGTACACTGTGGTTCTTCATGTGACAGGTGCTGGAAGCTGCTGAACGGGCCATACATCATTTGGATGGCTCACAGTGGGTTCAATATGAGTATGTTTGGGGGGATATGTGAACCATGATTTGTATTTCATTTTCCTCATGTAGTGAACCAGTGTGTTACCTTAGTGCTTTGTGCATCTCATGGTGTACATTGTTTCCATTGTTCAGGAATGGTTATGGTTACCTTGGAATCAGAAAGTGCTTGAAGTCAAAAAGGCAGCAAAGTCAGGTGAAAGAGGGAATCTAGTCTGTTTCTTTGTATGCCGCCTTCTCACACAAAGAAGGCATTCCCTATCAGTGTCCTTCAAAGGATAGTGAGAACCAATGCAAACAAGCATTTTGAGTGATAGCTAGTACCAGGGGAGACAGGATTCAAAGCACTGCTCAAACATGAAAACCCACTGGGTGACACCACTAAGCAGCAGGGGAAGTAATGCCAAACCTCCTCTGAACCAATCTTGCCAAGAAAACCCTGTGCTAAGTTCCCCTTAATGTCGCTGTAGGTGAGAAACTACTTGACGACATGTAGCACCATCTTTCACTTGCATGGCTACCCTATTACATAATAATAATAATAATAATAATAATAATGCAAAATACTTTATTTATATTCCACTTTATCTCCCTGGAGGGACTCAGAACATATTATAGTACATAAAAGGCAAACATTCAACACAAACAATGACACACATACACAGATAAGGCAGAGGTCTTCCACTTCTTTCCATTTCCAGCATCTGGAGGTGATGTTCAACTTCTGGCCATAGGGAGGTGCTGTTGTCCCATTTTTCCATGCCAAAGGAACCTGCTGGCCGTAGCCTTCTGCCGGCATGTCTGCATGTCCGCATGGGGTGCCCTTTTACCTTCCCACCAGTATCTATTGATTTACTCGTATTGCATGCTTTCAAACTGCTAAGTAGGCTAACAGTTGAGAGCTCACCCCTACTTGCAGCTTGAACTGTTGACCCTCCAGTCAGCAGCCTTTCCTGCAACTAGTGGCTTTAAACCACTGTGCTACAGCAGTTGTCCTCAGTCTTTGCGAAATGAAATGCTGTTACATTTTCCTAAGAGTCTGTCAACAGACTTTCTGGTGCACAAGATGTTTCTGGAGAGTGGCACAGCACAAGACGTGGATGTTTCCCAGTCACTGCCACAGGAGTCTTGCTTTTCTGTAATTAGTTGGAAATGGAATTAAAATAGGAGTTTCACATAGAGTATGATATATTGCTACATTAATTAACAGTGCCTTTGCTCTGCTTTGTTTTTGTCCATAATGATTATAGACAAGTTTATCAGTAAAATTGTTTTATCATATTTATTCATTTTTTCCTGTTTGCATGTCCCACCCATTGTGTTCATTCTTGTTAAGTTTTCTGCATTTACTGACTCTATTTGCCCTTTGACTAGCTTCTATGTGTCTTTGCTCCGTGATGAATTTTGTCAGGGTGATGAAGTCAGGGTAAACACTCACGGCAAAAGGTAAGGTCTTATTCCAATCCAGGAGAACCCAAAAGAAGCCCTGTTTCCCCCTCTACTCTTTCAGTTGTGACACTGCTTCTGGCATTTTTTAATACCTGGTGGGGAAATGAAACAGAAGCCAGGAATAGCTGGGCCCTAGAAATGGCATTGGTGCTTTCTCCTCTACAGTGTTCCCTCACTTATCATGGGGGTTCTGTTCTAGGACTGCCCACAATAAGTGAAAATCCATGAAGTAGGGATGCCATATTAATTTTTATATTTATATATTATTTTATATATTATTTTCTTACCCACGCTTCCTTACCCACCTCCTGGCCCATCCCAAGGGCACCTGCCTGCCTCCCTGGCCTCCACAGAAACTGGCAAAGCCTCTGGAGCCACACAGGCAGCAACAGGCCAGGGAGGCAGGTCTTCCCCGCCACTCCTCAGGCTGCCGCACTTATGGGCCTCCACTGGATGTAAATATTTTATATTTTATATTAATATTTTCAAAATCTGCGAAACAGTGAGTCTGCTAAAAGCGAACAATGAAGTAGTGAGGGAACACTGTATATAGTACCTGGTTTATTTTGGCTTGAGCGTGAGTGACTTTCAACCCATATCTCCGTGAGCCACTTTGTGGACCATAGTAGGAGCAGCAACAAATACTCTCTTAAATGATCGGAATAATTGGTTTATTTTACAAACTAGCATTTCACAGTGGCTTGGATTTCCATCTCTTTTCTTGCAGAGATAATGTAGAAAGTGTATGGAGAGGAAAAACCATACAACACCTGTTGCAACCATGGAATTCCTGCTTCTGGGATTCTCTGACCTCCTCCATCTGCAGACCCTCCTCTTCTTCATCTTCTTAGTTGTACATTTGGCCACACTTGCAGGAAACCTTCTCATCCTTCTAGCAGTAGCTTCCGAACGATGCCGCCCTCCAATGCTTCTTTTCCTTTTCCAGCTCTCTGCTATTGAGCTCTGCTACACCCTTATCATTGCCCCCAGGATGCTGGTGGGCCTCACCAATCCCAAAAGAAATGTCATCTCCTTTATAGGCTGTGCTACTCAAATGCATTTCTTTGTGGCTCTGGGAGGAGCTGAATGCTTTCTCCTCGCAGCTATGTCCTATGATCGGTATATGGCCATCTGCCGGCCCCTGCATTATGTGGTAGTGATGAACCAAGGCTTCTGCCTTCAGCTTGCCATCTTCTGCTGCCTTGGTGGCTTTGCAGTCTCATTGGGCCTGACAGCAGCGGTCTTCTGCCAGCCTTTCTGTGCTTCCCACCATATTGATCATTTCTTTTGCGATGTGCCTGCTTTACTACACTTGGCTTGCACTGAGAGCTACACCAGTGAACTACCACTTCTTGCAGCTTGCATCCTCATTCTCCTGCTCCCCTTCCTCCTTATCCTTACCTCCTACATCTGCATCACATTGGCTGTGTTGCAGATCCGTGACTCTGCTGGCCGAGGCAAAGCCTTTTCGACTTGTGCTTCTCACCTGATCGTTACTCTTTTACATTATGGCTGTGCCACCTTTGTATACATCCGACCCAAGTCTACATATTCACCAGGAAGGGACAAGATAGTAAGTCTTCTTTACACCAGCATCACTCCCTTGCTTTATCCCTTGATTTACAGTCTCCGGAACAAAGAAATCAAAGGAGCTGTGAGAAAACTTCTGCGAAAAAGATTAGCTCAGCTGAACTGGCGTGCCTTTAAGATCAGGTCTGAACAATTTCTGAACTATTGAACTTAACTTAGACCTCACAACCTCTGAGGATGCTTGCCACAGATGCAGATGAAACGTCAGGAGAGAATGCTTCTAGAACATGGCCAGATAGCCTGAAAAACCTACAACAACCCAGAACTTAACACAGTTCAAAAACAAAGGCAATGTTTTCTCCATGTTGTAAATAGTAGGAAGCTAATAAATAAGTCTGTCATAAAAGACAGGTCACTAAAAGCTTCCTTAACCACTTGACTTCATTGCTGGTCTTGACTGCAAAGCAGTGGAACTGCCAAACATTGGCCTGCATATAGCTGGATGGTCATATTCATCTTGTGGGTCACAAGTTGTGTACAGCATCTCAGATGTATGGTATTGTCTATATGATAGCTGCAACAAATATTGGAAAATACAATGTAATCCTCTATATATATATCTACTGAATTAAATGGGAATTGAACCTTAGTATAGTAGTGCAGTTACGAATGTCCTCTTGTAAGTTGCTTTTTAAAAAAACAAAAAAAGAAAGATAAACATGGGTTGAAACAGGAACTATTTCTCATACTGCTCACAGGTACTATTATTTTTGCCCACTACTTTTATCCTGGGATGATGTAAACAATCAAGGCATTTGTGCAGCTGTCACGGCTCAAATACCTTGGCCAGCCCAACTGTTTAAACTTGCCTTATTCCCCACCCTATCCCTTCAGTCTTGCAATCAGTTTCATTTCATATAATGTCCCTGATCTAATCTTTCTGTGAGGTATTAAGGAAATATAGCAAATCTATCAAGTGTCTTAGCTGGGTGTTCAGCTTCTAGTTACTTCTTAGTATTTCTGATGTAACTGTAATTTCCAGGACATAGAGGAAACATAAAGGTCATTCTGAACCTTTTTTTTTTTTGTTCCAGTCCGTACTCTATTATATGATAATGGATATGTTGTTATGTTTCTTCAAATCATTTTCAGCATAAAGCCACCCTAAGAACCTCATCACACTTACCTTTTTAGCACCTTAAGACTCTAAAGCGACAGTGTAGCAACAGATGCCTATCACACAACGTCGCTGGACTTCCTGTCGAAGCCCCATCACCAACCGGAGTGGAAGTGTAATAAGACGCTTCCCTCCTAACATTATTATTATTAGTATTTGTACCCCATCACTTCTCAACCCCCGAGGGGGGACTCAGGACGGCTTACAATAGGTACCAATATGATGCCGGTACAAACAATCACAATAAAACAACCACAGTTGAACAGAAGTCATAATTAAACAATACATAAGCCATAATTAAATCAATAAAAGCAGTAAAAACAGTCTCATTAGCTGTGTCATCGTTCCAGTCAAAGTCCATCTACAGTGCTACTTACATCTGCTGTCCAAAAGCCTGATCCCAAAAGCATAATTTTAATTTCATCTTAAAAGCCAGGAGGGAAGAAGCCAATCTTATTTCAGTTGGGAGTGTGTTCCATAGGCGGGGGGATATAGCCAAGAAGGCCCTGTCTCTCCTCCCCGCCAGACGCAGGGTGATGTTTGTGATGTTGACGGGAGCGAGAGCAGGGCCTCCCCAGATGATCTGAAATTGCAAGGTGGGACATAGGGGTGGATGCATTCTGACAAGTAAGCTTTATAGGTCAAAACCAGCACTTAAAATTGGGCTCAGAGATGGACCGGCAGCCCATGGAACAGACATAACAGAGGGGTGGTATGTTCCCTATATGTCGCCTCAGTTAGTAATCTGGCTGCCTCCCGTTGGACTAACTGAAGTTTCCGAACCGTCTTCAAAGGCAGCCCCATGTAGAGTGTGTTGCAGTAATCTATTTGGGATGTAACCAGAGCATGGACGACTGTAGCCAGATCAGACATGGGAAGGTGTGCTGGCTCCAATGGAACCAGCATACTTCAGGGCCGCTTCGGCGCTGCTTTCCTTGTGTGATAGGGGAAGTATCACCACTCGGGAGGCTTGCAGAATGGCATGGGGAAGGGGTCATCTGTATGATGAGCTTGTACAAGTACCAATCATGAGTTGTTGGTTTTTGCAGGATTTGTTTACAATTCCTTCCTCTGAGGCTGAGAGAGTATAACTTGCCCAAGACCATTTTATGGGTTTCCATGACTGAATGGGGCTTTGAGCCCTTGACTCCCAAAGTCCTAAGGTGAGTTTACACTGACCCATAACCCAGACCTAATATATAGTGCCAAGTGCTGGATTTTCATAGAGACTCTTCCAGCCACTAATGAGGTGACAGGAAGTTCCCATCAGCAAGCATTTCAGCACTGCTATGAAACCACCACAACTGTCCCCTCACTGCGTTGCAATGATTCTGATCATCTCCCCACTCCTTCCCAATGAACCACGTAACTCCAGCCAACCTCACAGCATGTGATAGCTTACAGGCAGTACCAACATTGCAGTCAGAAACTGCCATGACAAAGACAAACAGAGGGGAAAGGGAGGGTCCTCAGCCACCCAAGTCAGAGAAACACAGGATGGCAATGGGGACAGTGCCCAAAGTCAAGAAAAAGACCAAATTTTGTAGCAGAGTGTGGACTTTACCCCAACTTTGGCTAGCATGGGAGAAGACTATATTAACCTGGATCAGCCTCATGTGGCATTTGGCTGCTACAGAACTGACCCACCTCTACAACCACCTGAGTGGTCAATGTAGATGGGTCCCTATTTGACTATACCATAAATGCTACAGCGTTATGTAGCAAACTGAGAAGACCTTGTTTTGTATACCTCTTTGGGTTTCTTAAAAATATTACCTAAAAAGTGTGATTGAAGAAATGTGTTTATAATATAATACCATGTTCTGTTTAATTTTAATTAACCACCATGACTGAAATTTAAAAGGAAGTTAGAGCATTAGCCCTGGATCTAGGATATCTGGGTTCAAGTCCCTAAAGAAACATGAACTTTGGTTTACTCTACAAAATTTTAGAAGAAGAGCTGTGTGTGCAGCATAAGTGTTGTAAAAGAAGAATTGCATGTGAAGCATAGAAGGAAAAGTGAAACATAAATAAAAATAATTTCAAAATAAATACGTTTTTTCCTACAAAGGAGGTTATGGGCCAGCTCATTGCAGTAAAAATGGCAAATACAGACCATTCCGTCCAAATGGGGATTAAAAATCCTATAGTTCTCATCAAACATTTAAATATGTGTGTGAGACAAATTAATTGTGTTATGATCAGGTGTTTTATAGGAATCTTTTTACAATGTTAGTTCATCATTACAATATGATAGTTTGGATTGAAAAAATTTAACTGTCATGTAATAAAAATAACTTGGGAATAAGATAGTCTTTTCATCCGGGTGGTTTTTGTTTGGTTTGGTTTGTGTTCGACACTGGTTATTAGACAGAGACTCCTTATTGAATTTAGAAGCTTTTCCTGGATCCCCATAGGAATCAACAAACTTAAGAAAGGAGAGAATTAGAATGTGAAATTGAAAGGGAAAGAGGAAGAAGGAAGGAAGGAAGGAAGGAAGGAAGGAAGGAAGGAAGGAAGGAAGGAAGGAAGGAAGGAAGGAAGGAGGAGGGAAAGTGGTAAGAAATTGGGGTTTTGAGAATTCATGCAGCTGTTACATTCTCTCTAGTGCTCAAAGCAGGGTAAAGATTAATAAAACAATAGAGATTTTTATCTTTAAAGCTTTTAGTGTTTAATGTAATGTCAATTTAACTACCCATTCAAAATTCACAAAACTGATTAAAATATTCCCTTTTAACAGATACATGGTTGAGATTTTTTAGCCTATCAATAATGAATGTGTTAATCCCATCACAGTAACTTTCCTATCTCTTCCTGTTCCATCTCAGTCACCTTCAAAGAGGGACATTGTAAAAAATGAAGATATGATATGTACTGCCCATCTGAGGGCCCTTCTACACATGCAGTAAATACCAAAAGAAACTGGTATAAAAGGGAAGCAGCTAAATGGCATTTGGGGAAAGTGCAAGCAGGATTGGGTTAACAGCTGAAAAGCATGTTTTTGAAAGGTGCACTCAAAACTTGATTCCTCCCCCCATGTACCTTCATATTACTGTATAGCCATGCAAAACACATGACTTCCTTCCCAGTCCCCTGTGTGAACTGCTTCAGTGCACATACATGTTTTAAAAGTGTGAAACAACTGTCAGAAAATGGAGCAGCAGACCAACAGGTAGCTCAGTGCCCTTCCAGACAGGCCCAAAATGTGAGACCTGTCTTGCTTTTTACCTGAGGTATCCAAGCAATGCCTCAGGTAAAAGTGAATTAATGCAGACTAAACTGGGTTTTCCAGTTTACTCCACATCAAACACATCTAAAGATCCAGACCTTAAGCTAAGATCCAGACCTTTAGAGGTAAGGGTCCTGTGGGGACTGGCTCCTGGGGATAACTCCTCACAGCCATCTCACTTCTGCGAGCTCCCAAAAGCCTGGAGGAGTGGGATGGTGCCCCCCTCCCCTACATCAGTTTTTAGATTAGTGTAGAAGTTCCCTCAATCTAAGCACAGTTGGAAAGCAATTAGAATTCTCTGCAACCATTCCTTTCTTCTAATGTTTATAATATTACACAGAGGTTGAAGTTACTTACTTACATAGGCGATCCCTCGTTGTCCAAGTAGGATTGTCTTCTAAGATCGGTGTACTGGTGATGGGTCCATAGGTGACTGTGGTGCCCTATTCTTGATCTGCATGTTCTCCCGCAGTGAGAGCATTGGTTTCCAAGTGGAAGGCGGTCCCGGTCGGGGTTGGCTTGACACGCCTTCCTCTTGGCACATTTCTCTCTTTCACCCTCCATTCATTCTCTTCAAATTCTATAGCACTGCTGGTCACAGCTGACCTCCAGCTGGAGCTCAAGGGCCAGGGCTTCCCAGTTCTCAGTATCTATGCCAGAGTTTTTAAGGCTGGCTTTGAGAGAGGTTGAATTTACAATTGGGTGAATAGAGAATAAGAAATCTCCATATGAGTGCATAAGAGGTCAAGTGCATCTCAATTTTTTTAAAAAGCAAAAACTTCTGCCAGATGTTCCCTGTCCCCCCATCCCCTTTGCGGACCTGTAAAATCCACTTCAAAGGAAAGTGTGAGAATGGCGGAGGAGCATTACCCAGGACTGACAGGTCTGTGTGGACTTGCTGACAGGTCCCCAGACTTTTGTTGCTCCACTTTTAAAACCCGCATTCTAACTATTTCCTCTCATTCTCTATGGCCCCCTCTACAGTGACTTGAATCTGCGGTGAATACAAAAGGCACATTGCCAATGCATGCTGCAGTATGCATTAAAGAAAGTTGCAAAAAAAAGTCCAGGTTAAGGCCTTTAATGTGCTGCAGCAGATCCCAACATATCCCACATCCCAGGGCGGTCAGTTTTTCAATAACAAAATCACATGACAAGAATGCACAGAAATACTAGTGGAGCTAGATTATTTTTATGTGTAAATTCCAGAGTTACCTTTCTTTCATGCAGACCAAGGGTAGGCTTTGTGAGGCAACAAGTAGCCCTGAATATCCATTTTGTAGCTCTAAAGCTCCCCTCTTGAATTTTACAAAACCAAAATATCAGCAGACACCACAAGATGGCACATGGGAGTATTTTTCGCTTTTTAGGAGCCCCCAGTGGTGCAGTGGGTTAAACCACTGAGCAGCTAAACTTGTTGACCAAAAGGTCGCAGGTTCGAATCCGGGGAGCGGCATGAGCTTCCGCTGTCAGCCTCAGCTTCTACAGTCCGAAAACATGCAAATGTGAATAGATCAATAGGTACCACTCTGGTGGGAAGGTAACGGCGCTCCATGCAGTCATGCTGGCCACATGACCTTAGAGGTGTCTACGGACAATGCCAGCTCTTTGGCTTAGAAATGGAGATGAGCACGAACCCACAGAGTCAGATACGACTGGACTTAATGTCAGGGGGAAACCTTTACCTTTAGAATGACTGGGGGCCTGTCAGTACCTTTATCCAAGAAGCTCTCAGTTCAAACTAAAGGATGGCCAAACGACATTCCGTGAAAACACGGGAGCAGTTGCAACAAAGGAGAGAAACCTCAGAATAGAAAGGTCTCCTTTTATCCCATTTCTGGCCAGAAGAACTGCATCTTCATGTGTGTGTGTGACCCTGCATTCCCAAAAATATGTGTTTTCCTTCCCTCCCCCCCCCCCCACTCCCTCCCTGGCTCCTTTCTCCCCCTCAAATTACTGGAGCCTTCAACAGAAGTAGGTCTGAAGACTTTGCCTCTCTTCCTTCTCCTTGGAAGATCCAACGGGGGCCTTGGAGCAGAAATCCCTCCATCCTTACCCAAGGTCCTTTTTCGGCTTTTCCAAGGGAATGGGGAGCAAGGGAGAAAGGCTCAGTCCTTGTCGGAGTGGAGTCTTCTCCCAATAAGTGCAGGGGGAATTGGGGAGGGGGGGGGGGTTGGCAGCGCACATTATGCCCACCCCAGCTTACCTCGGATCAGCAGGGTATCTGGACACTCCCACCCATAAAACCCCGGGTTTTAGGCCAGTTGTGTGGCCTCCATCCTGAGAGGAAGTGGAATTTAAAACCCCGGTTCCTCTCAGATCTTTTGCCTGTCTGGAACCGCCCCTGGAAAATAAGAAGAGAAAGAAGAAGAGTTTCTGTTTCATTTCTCCATTTTCTCCTGATTACTGTTCCTTCCCATCCCTAGCTACAGTTGCAAGGCTCTGGTTTTCTGCTGAAGGTGAAACTGAGTAAGACTGGTAAGTTAACTTGTTTTAAGAGTTCCAGTTATCATGGTAATGGATAACATGTTCAAAGTCTTTTAGTTTTTTTAGCCTAAACAGTCATTTGTTGAAAATTGCAACAAAAATTACTGTGCAATCCCATGGGACAATTATTTGGATTGTCCTGTTTCAAAACATGTCATCAAATGGGATTTTAGAAACATATATTTTTTAAAAACAAAGTACAAAATGTGTGGTCTGTGATTTTTTTTAAAAAAAAGTGAATTGCAGTGATTTCAGACTTTAAATAGGTTTTGGGAATTTATTGTCTGAATTTCAAACGTAGTATAAGTACGTAATTGTATTACTCCGTAAGGAAGAATAGTTAAATACTACAGATAAGGCAATGATAAGAAAGTGGGCTTTCTAGTTTTTTAATGTGTATGTTTTTTTGGTATTGATAGTAGATAGACACAATCATTTTTGTGATTGATTATTTTATTATGCCATGTTGTAATAAAAATTGTATATAATAATAATAATAATAATAATAATAATAATAATAATAATAATCTTTATTTATACCCACCATCTCCCCAAAGGGGACTCGGGGTGGCTAACATGAGGCCAAGCCCAAAATTACAACAAAATACAATAAAATACAAAAAGCAAAAATACCATCAAAATAAATACATAACATAATAAAATAAAAAAGCAGCTACAAAATGACATGCCATAGAAATGGGACATAATGGGCAAGCCAAATGTACTAGAAGTAAAATTGATAGAATTGATAAAACCCTGGATGAGATAGGTAGAATGTGTTTCAGAGGGAGAATGTGTTTCTGAGGGGGGAACTCAAAAGTATTCATGTTTTACCTTTATTATATGAATTAAACATACTGTATTTAAAGTAGTAATCTCCATATCTAAATGCTTGCAAATGAAGGCATTGTAATTCCGTTTGCCATTTACTTTATTTATTTGTACACTTTATAATCCTATTGATTATGGTTCTTTGACAAGGATAAAGCAGTAATATATTCTCATAGAAAAGTCTAGAAATTTTAATTTAAAAATTCAACCCAAAAAAACCCCCAGTGACAACTTCTCCATTGATCAATGTGAGTAATGTACATTAACTTATCCAAAAATAAACCGTCCCTTCTCTAATTAGAATGGCAAAAAGCAAGGGCATAGTCCATCTCAAGATGATCTGCACCTACCCTTTGTTTCTACTGTTTCTGCCACGGCATGAAGTCTGACTTTTTAAAATATCTGAACTATGAAATGGCAGCAAAGGTGGCTGGCCCTGATGTGGCCTTTGCAATTTTGCTTCTCCTTATCTATAACCCTTGATTTATCCACAGGTCATATTAAATCCATTATTTTGTCCCCAAAACCTACCCTAGACTTATACATGAGATTGACTTATACATGAGTATATATGGTAATAATATACTAAATTAGAATTCCGCAGTGTAAAAATAAGTAACTAAAGGCTGGAAAAAATATTCTCCAAACTACAGATCCCATACCCAGCATAGCCTCTGCAATCTGGTTTGAGCATTCTGCAACTTGTAGTTCAGAAAAGTATCTTTTACCAACTTTTCCTGCCAAAATCTTCTGTAGTTGATCATAGAACTATCGTATAGCATGAAAATGGCCCCCAATCAAGACTGTGCATGCTCAGTAAACATGGTCTGTTAAGTAATACTTAGGAAAGGAAAAAGGAAGTTCCTCCTTCCCTCGATATCCCCAAGATAGTCTTTCTTCCACCCTAAAATTCTTGCACACAACTTTTGGGAAGGGGCTAATAATCTCCTTGCTCCTTATGCACAATTTGGGGGTGAAAAGTTTAAGCTTCTTCTCTCCTCAGGCCTAAATCCAGCTCTTAGCTTTAATCTAGTTAAAACTCAAGTAAATAAAACTTTTGAGACAATAAGAACTTGGAACTCATTTCTATTGATTCATTAAATAGAATTCCAAGTACAATACTCAAAAGGTCAAGGCACCACAAAAGCTTGGTGGATCCTGATTCGTTAGAGAAGCAATGTAGACATTGAAGAAATGCATATAGATCACTTAAAATAATAGATTCCATATTATTCCAAATGTATATTTACTGTATTTATTCAATTCTGACATGAAAATATTAGGCCTGGGTAACAACGGAAAAATTTGTTTCTAAAATCGATTTGTATTTGGGGGTTTTTTTGTTTTGATATTTAAAATAATTACAAAATTTTCCTTTTAAAAAGTTCGATATTTACGAAATTTCGTAAATGGTAAAAATTAACGAATCGATTTCCGAAACAATAACGAATCGATTCGTTAATGGCGGACGCGACCGCGAAATACGCTAAAAAACCTCCAAAACCTTCTGAAGCTTCCCTCTCCCTCGGTTGTTGACTGTTGGTGTGATATTATAATTTTTTTTCACTAATTAAACCATAAAACTGGCCCAGACATGCGGAAATAATAACGAAACGACCTCAAAACAATAACGAAACGAATACAATATCGAAATACGAAGCATTTACAAAACGTTTTTGAAAATTCGTTTTTTTAAATAATTGCTCCAGAATGGTTCGTTATTGTTTTGTAATTGAAAAAATTAACGAATTATTAACGAATTACGAATTAACGAAACGAAACCGCCCAGCCCTAGAAAATATCCATACAAGATAGTATTTCTTCTGCTTCTTTGCATTCAATAACATTTCAGTCTATTTTCTCCTCCTGACTAGCTTCTCTATACATTCCCCTTGTTTTTCCAATATATCTTATATACTTGAGTATAACCTAGTTTTTCAGCCTTTTTTTCAAACTGAAAAAGCTTACCTTGGCTTATACTCGAGTCAAGGTTTGTTATTATTTCACTCTGTTATTATTATTATTATTATTATTATTATTATTACATTTATTATTTTATTCTATTATTATTGGAAGATACGTAAGCACATATACATTGAAGGAGGTTATTCATTATTTTATTATTACATTTATTATTTTACTCTCTTTATTAATATTGGAAGGATACTTATGCACATTTACATTGAAGAAGATTAGAATAATGGTTTAATCAGAGTTGGACAGTCTTATCTTAAATTACAGTTTTATGTAAGTATTCAAAAACATTTAATCTACTGGTGCCTCAATTAATGTAATTGTATTGGTATCTGTTTTTATTTTGAAATTTACCAATAGCTGCTGCATTTCACATCCTCAGCTTATGCTTGAGTCAATACGTTTTTCCCAGATTTTTTGTTGTAAAATTAGGTGCCTCGGCTTATATTTGCATCAGCTTATTCTCGAGTATATACAGTACTTCTATCAACAATGCACACCAGTAATACTTACTTTTAAAAAATGGTGGAGCATTTTGTCAGTTCTCATGGATTTAGGGTGCAACTACGCTGCAGAATGAATGTAGCTTGACACCACTTTAACTGCCATGGCACTTTAACTGCCATGGAATATTGGGATTTTCAGTTTGGCAAATAAATGAAAATATTAATATTTTCTGTGTCCTTTAAAGCTGTATTCAAGGCTAGTCACGAGGGTAGGAGAAAGCTGAAGAGGAAAAAGGGATCAGGGCCCTGACATTTCCACAATCCTTATAGGACTTTTCAGCCCATAAAGAGCCTTTGCAACTTGTTGCTTGCAATTACCAAACAAAAATGTCTGTGCGAATACTTGTCTTCAAGTCAGAAATATATTATTTGTTTCTTTGTTTATGAGGAATAATGTCACAATGAAGCTGTGCTACCATGGCCAAAAAAGAGGAAAAACATTGTCACACTTTGGTAGAAACCTTTGGTTATGAAATGCTTATTTTCTTTTCTTTCCAGAAGATAATCAGTGGTGTTGAAGAATCACTTTCCTTTGGAAATGGGTATGATATGATACGTCACAATGTGTTGGACAATATACTGTTCCTTCGGGGTCTACTAAAAGAGTATTTTCCAACTTTCTGCCTTCAAGAGACTTTCTGTGATGCAGAACATTCTTGATTATTAAACCAGATGTGTAGACCAAACTGAGTCCCCATCTACATAGCCAGATAATGTGGGATAGGTAACCGATTAGCCAGGAGCATCCAAATGACTTTCAAGGAAGTTGTGGCTCCTACAGAGGCTTTTCTTTTGTTTTTAATGACTAAACGGGCATGGGGAAGGGAGGGGATGATAATCCTCATGCCTACCCTGTCAATCACAAATCGGTAGGAATGGGTAACCGGGTCACCATCCAGCCAAGAAGGCAGTGTTTTGGGCCAGTCTGGCCTCGACATTTAAAATGCTGGTTTCACTTGCAATTTACACCTGTGTGGAAGTAGCCATATACAATGTCGAATTTACCATTGTTCTTGCGAGTGCTTAAGCTAAGGGCCCCTTTGGCCAAAGGAGCCCATCTTCCTGCCAAAAAAAAAAAAATCCGAAATACTACAAAATCCAAAATTGTCTCCAGTGGTGGCTGAGATAGTGACACCAGACAAACTTTGTTTCATGTACAAAATTATTAAAACATTGTGGATGAAATTACCACCAGGCTGTGTGTAGTAGTAGTAGTAGTAGTAGTAGTAGTAATAATAAATACTTTATTTATAGACCACCCTCTCTCCTCAAGGGGACTCAGAGTGGTATACGGTATATATAAAACATACATGAATTTTGTATTTAAACTTGGTCCCTTCTCCAAAATATTTATTTATTTATTTAAAACATTTATATTCCATCCTTCTCACCCCGAAGGGGACTCAGGGCAGAGATCAACATATATATGACAAACATTCAATGCTGGAATATAAAATAAGCTATAAATATACATAAATACTAAAACCAGTCATCTTCACTTTAAAATCAATTGTTTCAAACCATCTCAAACCAGCCATACTGAATTCCAATTGTTGCCTTATTGACTTAATGTCAGGGGAAATCTTTATTTTACCTTTACTAATTTTAAAGTTTAGGGTGGAGGCTGGGTAAATGACCTTCATTTGGCCCATGAACCTTATTTTGGGGACCCCTTCCCTACTGCAATACTGTTCAGTAAGTCTTATTGAAATAAAATGTGCTTATTTTGGCCTAAGCTGTTTTCCCTCAAAAATATGCAATTTAATAATAGTGTCCAGGTTCCAATCTCTAGATATATGAACATATTTCTTTTAGGTGATGAACTGATGAATGGCTTTTAGGAAGGTTCTGCTACTGCCAAGGTACCAGAAAGGGCCATGATAATGTCAAGGGATACAAAATGTCATTCTAATAAGGGCACCAGACAAACTCAGGGTAATAGCAACCACATCATAAGGTTAGCAATATGCTTTACCTATGTTATGGTGTCCTGGAGTTGGTAATTCATAATAATATTCTCTATGTTTATTTCTTCAGAATCAGATTCAAAATCCAAATCCTTGATCATTCAAGTTGACAACAAGACATATGATGATGTTAACGTGACTGCTAGTGCCAGACCACTCTTCAAGTTGCTGGATGGTAACATGATTTTCTTCTAGTACAAATGGCTAGCATCAATCGTCTCCAAAAGAGTTCGTGCTAAAACGAGCGAAAAAGTGAATGAAGTCACCAATTGGAATGCCATCACCTACCTATTTGGAAATTGTGGATGGAAACTTTACAACATCACTGTAGTTAGATCATCAGATGGATTCATTGCTGAATGTACAACTCCATTGTGCTGTACTTGGGTAATTGAGGAGAATGGAATGCATCAAGAAGACAATCCAAAAAACCTCTGCAAATTTAAGCCAGTGCCTAAAGATCTGGTAGAATAGAGAATTCGTTGTGATTCCATTGTATAAGCCAAATTATTTTGTGTAATATGGCAGTGCAATTGGTTTAATTTCAACATATATTAGCTATAGCCTGCTGTTTTTCAGAAACATCCTGAGTTGTTGAAGAATTTTTCACTGCAGAGTATTTGACAACTCCCGCCATTCCAAATCTGAAGAATAATTAGGCTTTAATATTTCTTCATATTGCTTGATAACAGTGTAATCAGCTGGAGAGTAGGGGCTTAGAACAGAATATTTGTTCCATTAGCTCTTGGGCCATACTAAGATGAAATCAAATAACAAAATGTACACAAAAATACAATAGAAAATGTTTTTAATTAACTGAATTGTTAAAATATATAACATTACATAATAAACAACAAACACTTTTTTTATAAAGCATACATTACTAAAAAGACAAATAACATGAAAAACATATTACTGAGGAAAAGGGGAAAACATTTTTTTTAGGTCTTTGGACAGGGGTTGGCTGGGCATCTTCTAGATATGCTTTATTTGTATACAGACAAAATTATCGTTTGAGAATTCTGTCTCCCTGTCACCTCCAGAAACGGTTGATGAAATCCAGCTATATTTTTAAAACCAGAAATGGTGTGGAAAATATTGGTTAGCCTCTTTGTTTCTGCTTTGCCTTATTGGAGCAGCTAGGGTGCTTCATCCTCTCTTATTGGGTTGGTAACATAGTGTTCTCTTAATGCTAAAATGTGGTGTGTTTGGATCAGGTAGGGAATCAGATGCTTTTAAATTAGATGAGCAAGAAGAAATGTTTGGGGAGTTGACTATCCTGTTCCTTAGGTGAAAGAGTTCTTGGGACATAAAAACATTAAGAACAAAACCTGTAGGATCCAATACTTAGGTAGGTGCACTCCTGACGGATCCTCCAGTGGCGCGCTTTGTGCCAGCAGGACTGCTGACCAATAAGTCAGTGGTTCGAATCTGGTGAGAGCTCCCTCTGTCAGTTCCAGCTCCTCATGCAGGGACATAAGAGAAACCTCCCACAAGGATGGTAAAACATCAAAAACATCTGGGCATCCATTGGGCAATGTCCTTGCAGATTGCCAATTCTCTCACAACAGAAGCAACTTGCAGTTTTTCAAGTCGCTCCTGATACTGAAAAAATGCAGTCCTGGCAGATGGCCTTCCAGCTTCTGTTTAAAAATTTCAAAAAAGAAGAAGAAGAAGACTCCACCAGTAGATAGCAGTCAACTACTTCCATTATTAATTGCTCTTTTTGTATTCACACTGCACTGTCTTGATTATTGGCTGTTATTGATGTTGTATTCTTGTTTTTTGTATTTTACACTGCATTTTTGTTGAGGCCTAATGCACAGAATCTTAATTTGCAACTATTTCTGTACTACATATTGTATATCATTAAACAGTTTAATTAATCTGATGGACTACCATGACGATGTGGGTTTTCCCATTCATTATACTTCATTCAATAGGTTGCACTTTCAAACTCAGATTAAGAGCACAAGAATAGAAAATAGTAAGGGAAAATGCTGCCCTGTTGAATGTTTCTATTTGGTTCCGCATTTTATTACGTGATTCTATGTGAAGCTATTGGAGTGTAAAGTTCTGCCAGTGGACATCTGCAGAAATCCAAGAGGTGAGGGGGAAGAGAAGCTAGGGAAGACTAAAGGAGAAGGCAGCCAGACAGGTGGCTCTGCAAGGCAATTCCTCCAGCTACCCCCATGCCCAGTCAATGTCTATCTGGGTGGGTAGACCTGCACCTGGGTGCTGTCCAGAAACCATTGCATGGACTGGCAAAGCAACTGGCTAGGGACCTCCTTATGTAATGTTGGGGAAAATAGTTAACCTAGATGTTACTCTGGCTTAGGCTATTATGTTACCAAAGTGCCTGCTAATTCTCCTTGCCTGGGGTGAACAAACAAATGTGCCTAACATGCTGAAGTTGGTTCCTTATTCCCATTTCTTTATTTCTGTGCATTTTCAAAATATGGCTCAATCACTCAATGCAAAATTGGACCTTTCTATCTACAAAACGAGCACAAATCATGCCCTCACCAATCCAGGGCCCCTTCCACAGAGCTGTATAAAATCCACATTGAACTGCATTATACAGCAGTGTAGACTCAGATAACCCAGTTCAAAGTATATATTGTGGATTATCTGCCTTGATATTCTGGGTTATATAACTGGGTGGAAGGGCCCCAGGAGAGAGTGCTTTAGGAGGGGCTGTTAACCCCTGTCCTAACCAAAGCAAGTAGTAAAGCAGAAAGGCGTTAGGAATTAAATAATGAGAGGCCAGGATAAAGAGTGAAGCATCACAAATAGTAAATTCATAGAATAAGCACCCGGTCCTTTGTCAGGTGGCATTGGCACTCATTTAACCTAAAGCCCTTGCCAATAAGATCAGATTAGTTAGGACTGTTGTTGTTGTGTGCCTTTAAGTCGTTTCCGACTTAGGACCCTTCCACACAGTCATATAACAAGGAATATCAATGCAGATAATCCACAATATCTGCTTAGAACTGGGTTATCTGAGTCCACATGGCCATATATTCCAGTTCAAAGCAGATAATGTAGAATTTTATTCGGCTGTGTGGAAGGGACCTCAAGGCGATTCTAAGTCTAAAGTTTAGGACAGCTTGTGGGTAAATTATCTTGGAGGACCACATCTGGCCTGCGGACCTTAGTTTGGGAACTCCTGCTGTAGGCTATAACAGCATAAAGAATGGAAATAGCAAAATCAGCTCTGAGGGCCCTTCCACACAACCCTATATCCCAGAATATCAAGGCAGAAAATCCCACATTATCTGAGTGTGGACTCTGATCACCCAGTTCAAAGCAGATATTGTGGGATTTTCTGCTTTGATATTCTGAGATATAGGGATGTGTGGAAGGGCCCTATGTATTCCTTGCCTTTAAAAACCCTATAAATTAATCAGGTCTATATAAGTTGACAAGTGACTTGAAGATATTACATACCTATACAAAATATGGGAAACAGCCCTGGGTGAAGGAAGTTACACACTGCAGGCTATAGCTCAAAGGACGGAACTGGCAAAACCACTGTATATTCTTTGCTTTAGAAAACACTATGAAATTTATGTGATCACTGTATAGCAGCAGGTGACTTGAAGGCATATACTTACCTACAATAAGCGAAATGGCCCTAGGTGAAGGAGGTCACAGACGGAAAAGCCCAGTTAATTGTTTTCTATCTTGATCCATCATAATGTTCTCCCTAGCTTGCAGATGCTATGAAATTGACCTCAAATAAGCAAAGACGGAAGGAGGGTCCCTCAAAATCATGCACGATTGCCTATAAGTTTTGGATTGGGTTATGAAGGGAGGGCTTCTTGTTGGTTCACTGACACATTCCTTGTTTATAACCTGAGATTAATTATGAAAAACAAAATGTCTAAGTAACCAATGACTACTAGTATTAAAAAACACCAGAATCAAGACAGTAAATAAAGAACACCACTCAATAACGGAAAATCCAGACAGCAAACAATCAAGTGTCAGTTAACACCTCCCAAACAAAAGGATACCTCCAGTCAACAATGCTGATTGACTTTGCAGCTGCAAGGCTACTCAATGCTATATCAAGCTTGCCAATTACAACATTTATACTTGCTTCAAAACAGACAAAGGGGCCTCACAACCACTGAGATGCCGGGCATAGATGTGGGGAAAACATCAGGAGAGAATGCTTCTGGAACATGGCTATACAGCCCAGAAACCTCATACCCACCTAGTAATTCCAGCCATGAAAGCCTTTGACAACACAGACAACGGGTTCTTTCCCCCACCCTGGACATTATTCCAAAGGTATATATAAAAGTATATATACACACTCCACTTGCCTCATTTCCAACAGACCTAACAGACCTCTGATGCTTGCCACAGATGAAGGCGGAACGTCAGGAAAGAATGCTACTGGAACATGGCCATACAGCCTAACAAACTCACAGCAACCCAGGATGCATTTCCATTGTAGAATTAATACAACTTGGCACCACTTGAATTGCCATGCCTCAATGCTATGTAATAATGGGAGTTGTAGTTTTACAAGGTGTTTACTCTTCTCTGCTACAGAATGTTAGCACTTTGCTATGCCCCCCTCCCCCCCAATCTACACTGGCATATAATGCAATTTCATAATGCTGTTAAACTGCATTGAGCTGCATTTCATGAGCTACACACTGCCATGCAATGCAGTTCAATACAGTTAAACTACATTATGAAAGACTTTGAAAACCAGAACAAAACCTTGCACACAAAACCTGACGTGCCTCATTTCCAACAGACTCCCCAACCTCTGAGGATGCCTGCCATAGATGTAGGCAAAACATCAGGAGCCTCCGGTGGTGCAGTGGATTAAACCCCTGTGCCGGCAGGACTGAAGACCGACAGGTCGCAGGTTCGAATCCGGGAAGAGGCGGATGAGCTCCCTCTATCAGCTCCAGCTCCTCATGCGGGGACATGAGAGAAGCCTCCCACAAGGACGATAAAAACATCAAATCATCTGGGCGTCCCCTGGGCAACGTTCTTGCAGAAGGCCAATTCTCTCACCAGAAGCAACTTTCACTTTCTCAAGTTGCTCCTGACATGACAAAAAAAAATCAGGAGAGAATCCTTCTGGAACATGCCATAGAGCCCGGAAAACTAACAGCAGCCCAGTCATTCCAGCCATGAAAGCCTTCAACAACACACATTGAAACAGAATGAAGCATTGGCATATTTTGCATTACAAAGTTTAAACCAATAAAAACATCAAAACATTATGTACGATAAAAAGAACTGTACATAAAACACAGCACAAATCATAGATAGAGTTAGACCAGCATTTCTCAACCTGGGAGTCGGAACCCCTGGGGGGTCGCAAGGGGGTTTCAGTGATGGTCAATCCTTGCATTATTAGGTGTCTTGTTTCCAAATTTGGTGTCAATTTGTCCAGTGGTTTTTGAGTTCTGTTAATCCCACAAATGTACATTACATTTTTATTTATATAGATATATATGGTTCAAGATTGGGAAAGGCGTACAGCAGAGGATGATGGTCCTCCAAGTGTAGTGTCCTGGCGGTGGGTCCGTAGGTGACTGTGGAGCTCTATTCTTGATCTGCATCTTCTCCCACAGTGAGGGCATTGGTCTCCAGGTGGAAGGCGGTTCCAGTTGGGGTTGGCTTGACACGCCTTCCTCTTGGTACATTTCTCTCTTTTGCCTCCATTCATGCCTCTTCAAATTCTACAGCACTGCTGGTCACAGCTGACCTCCAGCTGGAGCGCTTCAAGGGCCAGGGCTTCCCAGTTCTCAGTGTCTATGCCAGAGTTTTTAAGGTTGGCTTTGAGCCCATCTTTAAATCTATTTTCCTGCCCACCAACATTACATTTTCTGTATTTATATAGATTTACCGTATTGATATACCACCTTTCTCAGCCTGAAGGTGTTGTATGCTCCTTGAACACTGCTCCGGTGAGCAATCTGCCCGTTGGACCAGGCTCGAAGCCAGGATTTTGATTTGGGGGAGCTGAGTTTGATTCGGGGTGAGGGGCTGAGTTTGAGTGAAAGAGGGTCTACCCTAGCAAACCTTTTGTATCGTTACCCCAATACCCCCATGCATATGGGATATATTGAGTATGGTGATCAGATCATGATATGAATTATTTATCGTGTCATCAGCAACCATACCATTGTATTTCAATTCTAACAGAACAAAACAAACACACAGATTAAAAAGACACAATACAAAATTTGCAATTTGGTAGTTGATTAAATGTCCTTTGACCAGTATCTGGCCACTTGGAGTGCCTCTGGTGTTGCCGCAAGAAGGTCCTCCATTGTGCATGTGGCAGGGCTCAGGTTGCATTGCAGCAGGTGGTCAGTGGTTTGTTCTTCTCCGCACTCGCATGCCAAGGATTCCACCCTGTAGCCCCATTTCTTAAGATTGGCTCTGCATCTCGTGGTGCCAGAGCGCAGTCTGTTCACGCCTTCCAAGTCGCCCAGTCTCCTGTGTGCCCAGGGGAGATCTCTCATCTGGTATTACCCATGGATTGAGGTGCTGAGTTTGGGCCTGCCACTTTTGGACTCTCGCTTGCTGATGTGATATGAATAAGCATAACAGTTTAAATAATGTACCAGTAAGGCCTTCTTACAGCCCACCATGAGAATCCCACCGCCCCCCCCCCTCCACCCCGCTACATGCCTGCGTTGGACCATTTGAAGCTTCTGTTGCCTTTGAAGAAGGCATCAAACAAAGCTTTAGGTAGGAGAAAAGGGCTGTACATAAAGCACAACACCCAATATTGATAGGGTTTGAGCAGGCATGGGCAAACTTGGGCCTTCCAGGTGTTTTGGACTTCAACTCCCACAATTCCTAACAGCCAGTCCAAAACACTGGAGGGCCCAAGTTTGCCCATGCATGGGTTAGAGTGACGGGGTGGAGGGGGGGAGGCAGGTTAGAGGAAGAGTTTGCCTTTGTTTGTTTAGAATCCGCCCTGAGTTCCCTCTGGGAGATAGGGCGGAATATAGATAAAGTTGTATTAATATTTGTTAAGAGGAAAAGGAGGAGGAGGAGGAGGAGTGGAGTGGAATAACAGGAATAATGGTCAGAGATGACCATCGGGGAGTCCTCTGCACCCGCTGAGCTCACAATAGCCGCCCGGCGACGGCCGCAACAGGAGTCGCTCCTCTTTTGCAGGGAAGAGTAGGAAGGGAAGGGCCACAGAGAGCCCCCCGAAGCCCAGAGAGGGAGCCCCTCAGGGAAGAGGAGGAGAGGCGGTATGGGGGTCCTCCTCGGGGCGGAAAGTGGCTCGCCCTCCAAGCTCCTGGCAGGTGAAGGAAGGGCCGAATCGGGGCCCAGGAGGAGGAGGAAGGGGGCAAGGAGAGCCAGGCATTCCGACTTGGAAGGAGTTCCCATGGAGGAGGGAAGGGACATGGACACAAAGGGCAGGGAAAGAGATCCCACCCCAACATTAGGAAGAACTGGATGGTCTTTATAAGTAGATCCAAATCTAGGATATACTTCTCTCTCTCTCTCTCTCTTTCTCTCTCTCTCGCCCTCTCCCTCCTTCTCCCCCTCCTTCCCCTAACACAGTGTTTCTCAACCTTCCTAATGTCGCGACCCCTTAATACAGTTCCTCATGTTGTGGTAACCCCCAACCATACAATTAATTTTGTGGCTACTTCATAACTCTAATTTTGCTACCGTTATCAATCGTAATGTAAATATCTGATATGCAGGATGCATTTTCATTCACTGGACCAAATTTACCCGATATGCCCAAATTTTAATACCAGTGGGGTTGGGGGGGGGGGGGGTTTGATTTTGTCACTTTGGAGTTGTAGTTGCTGGGATTTATAGTTCACTTACAATAAAAGAACACCGCCAACTATGGAACTGAACCAAATTTGGCACACAGAACTCCCATGACCATCAGAAAATACTGGAAGGGTTTGGTGCGGATTGACCTTGAGTTTTGGAGTTGTAGTTCACTGACATCCAATGATGGCTCTGGACCAAACTTGGCACGAATACTCGATATGCCCAAATGTGTACACTGGTGGAGTTTGGGGAAAACAGACCTTGACATTTGGGAGTTGTAATTGCTGAGATTTCTAGTTCAGCTACAATCAAAGAGCTTTCTGAACCCCACTAACAACAGAATTGGACCAAACTTCCCACACAGAACCCCCATGACCAACAGAAAATACTGTTTTTTGATGGTCTTTGGTGACCCCTCTGACACCCCCTTGCGACCCCTCCAGGGTTCCCGACCCCCAGGTTGAGAAACACTGCCCTAACATATCTATGGCTGAATGGCTGTCTGTTGGGAGGGCTATGAGAGAATGGGTTGGAATGGATGGTCTTTAGAAATCCAAATTATAGAATCATAGAGTTGGAAGAGACCTCGGGCCATCCAGTCCAACCCCCTGCCAAGAAGCAGGAAAATTGCATTCAAAGCACCCCCGACAGATGGCCATCCAGCCTCTGTTTAAAAACCTCCAAAGAAGGAGCCTCCACCACACTCCGGGGCAGGGAGTTCCACTACTGAACAGCTCTCACTGTCAGGAAGTTCTTCCTAATGTTCAGATGGAATCTCTTCTCTTGTAGTTTGAAGCCATTGTTCCATTGCGTCTCCAGGGCAGCAGCAAACAGGCTTGCTCCCGCCTCCCTATGGCTTCCTCTCACATATTTATACATGGCTATCGTGTCTCCTCTCAGCCTTCTCTTCTTCCAGCTAAACATGTCAGCTCTTTAAGCCACTCCTCATAGGGCTTGTTCTCCAGACCCTTGATCATTTTAGTCGCCCTCCTCTGGAAACATTCCAGCTTGTCAATCCTTGATTTGGAAGAGATATCTAAAGACCATCCAGTTTAATCCTTTCTGCCATAGAGGAAGACACCATCCCAACCCTGCCTACACAGCCATCCAGCTATAGATACAATTTAGAGAGAGAGAGGATAGAATCCTATATTTGGATCTCTAAAGAGCATTCATTCCAACCCTTTCTATCACAGAGGAAGACACCACCCAAGCCCTCCCAACAGCTACAGATACAATTTAGAGAGAGAGAACAGAATCCTATATAAGGATCTCTCTCTCACCCTCTCCCTCCTTCTCCCCCTCCTTCCATCCCCCTGCTTCCCCTAACATATCTATGGTTGGATGCAGGCCTGTAGCCAAGATTTCATTTCGGGGGGGGGGCTTATTTTTTTTCAGGGAGGGTTTCAGGGCGGGCTGAGTTTTTTGGGGGGGCTGAGTCTGAGTGAAAGAGGGTCTACCCTAGCAAACCTTTTGTATCGTTACCCCAATACCCCCTGCATATGGGATATATTGAGCATGGTGATCAGATAATGATATGAATAAACATAACAGTTTAAATAATGCCCAGTAAGGCCTTTTCGTGAACCACCATGAGAATTTCGGGAGGGGCGCTAAGTCCCTCAACCCCCCCCCCCCGGCTACATGCCTGGTTGGATGGCTGTCTTTTGGGAGGGCTTGGATGGTGTCTTCCACTGTGATAGACAGGGGAATGAATGGTCTTTAGCAATCCAAGTATAGGATTCTATTCTCTCTCTCTCTCTAAATCGTATCTATAGCTGAATGGCTGTCTGTTGGGAGGGTTTGGATGGTGTCTTCCTCTATGGCAGAAGGGGTTGAACTGGATGGTCTTTAGAAATCCCTTCCAAATCAAGGATTCTGTTTATTTATCTCTCTCTCTCAATCATATGTATGATGAGATGGTCATATGTTTGGAAGGCTTGGATGATGTCTTACTCCTTAGTAAATGGGGTTGGACTGGATGCTCTTTAGATATCCCTTCTGAATCTAGGCTTTTCTCTATCTCTCAGTCATATCTATGGCAGTATGACCATCTTTTGGGAGGGGTTGGATCAGGCCCGTAGCCAGGATTTCGTTTGGGGGAGGGGGCTAATATTTTTTCAGGGGGGGGCTCGGGGGGGGGGGCTGGGGCGGGGGCTGAGTCTGAGTGAAAGAGGGTCTAGCCTAGCAAACCTTTTGTATCATTACCCCAATACCCCCATGCATATGGGATATATTGAGTATGGTGATCAGATCATGATATGAATAAACATAACAGTTTAAATAATGCACCAATAAGGCCTGATTATAGAGCCCATAATATAGATGAATGGACAGAATCCTAGAGTTGGAAGAGACTCCAAGGGTCATCCAGTCCAAGCCCCTTTTGCCAGGCCGGAAGGCACCATCCAAGAGGGAATGGGACATCTTTGGAGAAGTGTTTTGGAGATCCAGAGGCTGCTTTAAGATATGAAAAACATGTAGATTTATTTGACTTTGCCTCAAATGAATGCTTTGCTGGGAGTGATGTCTCTTTGCTTGATCTCTATACAGTCTTCGTCGTCTTGAGCATTTGCTTCTTGTCAACTGAAGCCTACTTGAAGCTGACAAATATTGAAATGAAGCCACCAAAGCCAAAGGAAGGAGGAAGCGTCCTCCTCACCCCAGTCACCCGCCCTTCCTTCCCAGTGAGCTGCCGCTGGTACCGAAGGGAAATGTCCGAGAATGACACCATCCTGACTTATTTCTTCTATCCAAACCATGTGATTCAGAAGGACCCACGCTTCTCTGGCCATGAGATCATGAAGCCGGACTGCTCCCTTGAGATCCGAAACGTACAAGTCAGCCACTCTGACGAGTATATGATCCTGATACATGGCCGTGGGGAAATTCGGACAGGGAGCGTAAAGCTTGTGATCCCGGGTAGGATTCTTTAACATTTTGTGTAATATGTATAATGTTATGAGCAATATAACGCTTTATAACATTTTTGCGTGAGATGACTATGTTTTGTGAAAAATGATTCTGTAACATTTTGAGCAATATGTGTAGAATGCTTTTGTGTAATATGACTCTCCAACATTTTCTGCAATGTGACTGTCACATTTTTTGTGCAATATGACTCTATAACATTTTGATCAATGTGACTCTATAAGGTTTTGAGCAATATATGTATGCTTTTGTGAAATGTGACTATAACATTTTAAGGAATATGACTATAACATGTTTGTGCAATATAACAATAACATTTTGCAAAATATGACTACAAATATTTATGCTATGAATCTTCATAGCATTTTGTGCAGTAAATCTCTAATATTGTACAATATGATGATAACATTTGTGCAGTAAAACTCTATAACATATTGTTTAGAGTGACTAATATTTTGACCAATGTAACTCATAATTTTTTTTGCAATATGACCATCTATTGCCTTTTTAGTGAAATATGTCTAATGACATTTTTGTAACTATCTTTAATCACTGGCTTATGAGGGTTAAACCACTGAGCTGCTGAACTTGCTGACCAAAAGGTTGCAGGTTTGAATATGGGGAGGGTGTCTGCTCCTGCTGTTAGCCCCAGCTTCTGCCAACCTAGCAGTTTAAAAGCATGCAAATGTGAGTAGATCAATAGGTACCACTCCAGCGAGAAGGTAACAGCGCTCCATGTAGTCATGCCATCCACATGACCTTGGAGGTGTCTACAGACAATGCCGGCTCTTCGGCTTAGAAATGGAAATGAGCACCAACCCCCAGAGTCGGACACAACTGGTCTTAATGTCAGGGGAAAACCTTTACCTTTACCTATTCCTGTAACATTTTTGTCCAAAATGACTGCCAAGAACAGTTTCATGAAATATGTTTATAACACTTTGTGCAATATGGTTATCTCAAACATTTATAGGCAATATATCTACAATGGTATTGTGAAATATGACTATCTGTAACATGTTTACACAATATGTCTATTACATATAAGTACAATATGTCCATGACATTTTTGTGTACCATGACTATCTGTCACAATATAACTGTCTATCACATTTGTATGCCATGTTTCAGGAGAATTGTTTTGTTTTTTTGACAGATCACCACAATTTCGATTCACTTGGTAAGTCACATTGCAGGTTTGTTTGTTTTTTCTTGTTTTTTTTAAACAACAACAACAGTGATTGTGCCAAGAGGGAACATGGTTTCTGGTGAGCGGGGCAGCCCTTTTGGGTGTGTTTTGTATAAATGTTTTGTATCTTCTCATTAAAAGTGTGGGGCGCAGATAGGGACACATAGAGACACGCACACAATGCAGAAAATAGTTCAGAACACTTGGCCCAAATGACAAAGCCAAGAATTCTAGTACCACAAGCATTTGCTTCCTCCTTTGGTTTGATTTCTTATTGACATTGACCATGGAATTGCATCAGAGGTCCTGGAAGGCAAGAGGATTATTCTCCTTTGATCTTCTGGGAAAATTATATGGCATGCTTCCACCAGATGCTAATCACAGAAATGTCCTAGAGCAGGAGTTTTGAATTTTTTTCAGCTGCGCAGCTCTTTTTAAAGCAAATGTTTTTCATATAGCCTCAAGAAATGTTTTTATATAAATGTCCACACAGTCCAACCCCCTTTTGCCATGCAGTAAAAGCACAATCAAAGCACCCCCATCTAGCCTTTGTAATAATAATAATAATAATAATAATAATAATAATAATAATAATAAATATAATCAAAGAAACCCAATTTAAATTCTAATGTATACTTCTGTTGCATTTCATTCATTTCAATAGAAATTCATTTCCAAGGAAATCTGAGAACCGATCCCCTACAGCAGAGGAGTCAAACTTGTGGCCCTCCAGCTGTTTGAGCCTCCGACTCCCAGAGCTACAGGCATGTAGCCGGGGGGGGAGGGGGCTCGGGGGGCTTCAGCCCCCCCCGAAATTTTCATGGTGGTTCGCGAAAAGGCCTTATTGGTGCATTATTTAAACTGTTATGTTTATTCATATCATGATCTGATCACCATACTCAATATATCCCATATGCATGGGGGTATTGGGGTAACGATACAAAAGGTTTGCTAGGGTAGACCCTCTTTCACTCAGACTCAGCCCCCCCCCGAAACTCAGCCCCCCCGAACCCCCCCTGAAAAAAATTCAGCCCCCCCCCGAAACGAAATCCTGGCTACGGGCCTGCAGAGCTACTATTGTGAACTCGTTCAATGGTCATGAATTCTGGGAGTTGAAGTCCAAAACACCTGGAGGGACACATGTTCAACACCATTGCCGTACAGATACTGGGTTTGGCCTTTATGGGCATGATTCCCACAATAATCTGGAACCGGGCTTTCTTTGGGAGAGCATGTCTCAGAGATCCACCTCGCATCTTGTCTGTCAAGACCTTCAAGGACCACAGCTCTGGCATTTGAAATTGCTCTCCTCTGAAACTCCTCTCTGCCTTCACTCTTGAGGCACCAAGGCCTCCAATGCCCTTGCTAAGACCAGACCAGTTTGGAAGGAGAGTGATGTGCCATGTTCTGCATTGTAAGAGCACTCGAATTTGCTATCACTTAGATGCCACAGTTGATACAGCTCTGGTGGATGTAACCGGAGCTTGTTCAATATTGATGGATACCAGACTGGTGCAAAAGTTTCTAAAGTCAAATTAAAATTTGTAAAATCTGTACTTCCGAAGAGAGTATGGCATGCACTAAAAACTTAAGAATCAAAACTTTACCATATTTTGTAAATCTCAGAAGGCTCCCTCCTAAAGTCAGCTTCATTTTCATGGTAAGCAAGCAAAGCCAAGCCAAAAAGGCTCCCATTCGTCTGTGAATTAATGGCCTCTCACCATTAGGAGAGGAAAAGCAGGGAGCCGTGTTCACTGAGAAAGAAATCACAGAACTCTGGGAAAAGTCGTTTGGGAAGTCAGGGAGCCCTGTGCCAAAGAATGCAAAAGGCCCTGCCCTAAAATAATTTCCCAAAATGCTGCTCGCATCAGAAAGCCCCAGTCAGGATAGGGGAGAGCTTTGTCCCTCCGTAGAAGCAGACAGCCAGCCACAGTTCCAATATATTGTTGAATCTGCAAAGGAAGATTGAGACTGATTGATACTTCTAGTAAGTAAATTTCTGTGCTCCGCTGGGGTTCCTTCCAACTCAATGGGGGAAGCATATCAATTAGTTTAGTGGCTGGATGGCCATCTGTCAGGAGAGTTTGGATGGTGCCCTTCTGCCTGGAAGAAAGGGGTTGGACTAGATGGCCCTTGTGATTCTAACTCTAGGATTCTATGAAAATGTAAAAGTGGTATTAGTTTCTATGGATCCTCGCAATGAAACTCCTTCCCCAACAAAATTAGATCAGCGCCCTGCCTCCTGGCCTTCAGAAAAAAAGTAAAAAAAGTAAAATCTAGGCCCTGTATGGCTCTGGCCAAGGTTATCTGAAGGACCATATCTCTTTCTATATCTATCATCTTCTGGGAAGGTCCTTCTCTCAGTCCCATGACCTGCTCTTGGTGGGAACACAGGATATTTATTTATTTATTTATTTATTTATTTATTTATTTATTTATTTATTTACTATGTTTATATACTGCCTTTCTCACCCCAGGGGTGGACACAAGGTGGTTTACAACATGCTAGTGGCAAAAATTCAGTGCCAACATACATGAAGACAAGAAAACATAAAAATTGAACACTAACATATAACTATAAATTAAAATCGTTAAAACCATTAAACAGAAGATGTAAACAACAAGTAAGCATTAAGACAAGCATTAAAAACATCCAGGTATAAAAATTAAAATCACATAATCCAAAAATTGTACACCATGGCCATTCCGAATTGTCATTGCACATATTTCCTAATTATTCTTTGTACTGCATTATATTACTAGCCAAAGTCCTTTTACTGGCCAAAGGCCTGAAAAGGAGAAAGCCTTTTCAGTGGCTGTTCCCAGACTGTGGAACTTCTTCCCAGGAGAGGCCAGGATGGTCCCATCCCTGCTGGCCTTCTGCAGGCAGGTCAAAACCTTCTCCTGCTAGCAGGCATTTCAGGAACGATAAGGGGCAGACTTTGAGGATGTTGGGTGGGATTGGAAGGGAGGGGAAATGAATTTTAAAGACCATTTAAAGTGTATTTGTTGTATTTTAATTTGTTTTTACCACAGTTTTACTAATTAATTGTTTTTTTCAACTTTTCTATTGCACTTGTATTGTGGGATTGTTAACTGCCTTGAGTCCCCATGGGGATAGAGGCTGGGTATAAATAATGTTAATAATAATAATAACAATCATCATCATCATCATCACACGCTTTCTTCCTTGCAGGCCGGGGATTCTCAAAGGCGGCCATTGCTGGTGCTGTCCTTGGGAGCCTGGGTGCCATAGTGATCCTGAGCGTGCTGCTTTTCACAATTTACCGTGAGTAAAACCATGGGAGTTGAACAGCATTCAGCTTCCAGATGGAAGAAAGATGTCCCTTGTGTTATTGAAAAATTGATTCCACTCCTCTAATAATAAGCCCCAGCCCAGCCCCAAGCATTCCTGCTAGGATTAATCTAATCATTTACCAAGTCTAAGAGATAAACTAAAAAACTGGTTTGGCAGGAAAATCCCCCTCAGGTCAGACAGAGCAAACAGGAAAAGGTTTTTCCTTAAGATACAATTAAGAATTAGACCCCACAAGCCCCATTATCTGCTTCCTCAAACTAATCTCCCTCTTTTCCCCTCTTCCCTCTTCCCTGTAAAGAAATCTATGCACAACTATATTGAAATAACTACTTTTTTCAATCTGCCCCTGGAGGAGAACTCTTGCACATATCTTTCCTTTATTTATGAACAGTCAGGTGAGGGATTCCCATATATATGCACAGGAACTGTGCACCCAAAGAAATGTGACCAATATAAAATGTGGTTTGGGCTGAAAGGATCTGCCAAATGGCTCCAGCTTCAAATGGACAAATTGCAGCTCTCATTTTTTCCCCCATGACAAGGGAAATTCCATCCACCTCTGACATCACAGGTGTTTCCCAGCCAATGACAGCTCGGATTCTAGCACAACCATTCCCGAGACAATTGGGGGAAGGAGTGATTCTTCTGAATGGCTACCAAAGGGGATAAAATGCTTTGCACTGTATTGTACATTATGTCAGTTCTTCGTGTGATTGCACTGTTCTGACATCTATCTGGCCAGATGAATAAAAATTCTGCTTCTGCTTTCAAAGAAGAAGATGGGCAGGTTTGAACTCCTTGTCTTCTTCCTCCAGGTTCTTCTCACCAAGAAGGTCAGACGCTTTCTTCAGTCCTCACCTGTTCGTCTAAGGAGAGGTAAGGCCCAGGCTCCAAGAGGCAAGCCTTTTTCCAGTTGGAAAAGATGCAGACCTTCGATCTCCAGTAGATGGATAAAGCCTGAAGGACAGAACATTAAAAAAATAAAACAACTGTCAAGTCATGAAAATGAACAGAAAGGTCAGATTATTGAAATCATATTGATCTTGTCCAAATTCAGGTCACAGTCCCTCAAACTGTTGGAGGGCTGGATTATAATTTGAAAAAAATAATGAATAAATTCCTATGCATACTGCACCTATCTTATTTGTAGTGCAAAAAACACTTTAAAACAATGCAATAAATAAAATGAAGAACAATTTTAACAAATATAAACTTACTAGTATTTCAATGGGAAGTGTGGGCCTACTTTTGGCTGCTGAATAAGGTTGTTGTTGTTGTTGTTGTTGTGTGCTTCCAAGTCATTTCAGACTTAGGTTGACCTTGAGTGAGGGCCAGGTAAATGACCTTGGAGGGCCGTATCCAGCCCCCGGGCCTTAGTTTGGGGACCCCTGGTCTAATCTCTCTTTATGAGTAAGAATTTTAGTCTCCTAAAGCACATTTGCTCCACATGGGCAAACTTTGACCCTACAGGTTTTTTGGTTTTCAACTCCCACAATTCCTAACTGACTATTAGGAATTGTGGGAGTTGAAGCCCAAAATCACTTGGAAAGGCAAAGTTTGCCCATTCCTCATATAGATGGCACGGGACAACCCTTCATAAAGTTATACACATTTTGGAGAGGAGAATTTTCTCCTTAAGTGGACATTAATAACACTATGTAACAAAATTTGAAAAAAAATGTTCCTGGTTGGAAAATGTTATTTCCTGTTTATTTGTGCAGTACCGACTTTGAAAGAAGTTGGTATATTCCAGAAACTTTGTTTTTGTGGCTGCTACAAAGTAGGTTGAATTGGTTGAGACTCTGAGATATTCATTAAAAAACTATAGCAAAATGTGCTGCAGGATGTTCCACAAAAACAAAGTTTTTGCAGTTTAATAAACCTTTTCCAGCAGAAGCAGACTTTAGCAGTATTGTCGGCAGCAAGACATGGCCTTGAACTATGACAACAAGTCCTGGGGAGAATTATGGGAGATTGTATTTATATATGTATTTATATATGTCCACTTTGTATATTGACACAACAGTATGGAAGTTTGGTATCATTGGACCACATGCTTGCTTCTTCAATTTGTGAAGTTCTTGGGTAGGAGTCATTGATAGTGAAGTGGTATATATGATAAAGAAAACATGTTATAAATGCAATGTGCAGACACAATGTTTAGGGAAAGTAGGAGAGGTAAATACGTTTCTCTTAAAGCATGGTTCCCAATTTTTTATTGACCAGGGACCACTTGAACAAGGACCACTTTGGCCAGGGACCACTCTCCAACAGTATTACCAAAAGGGTTACAAATCTGTTTTTGGTCAACTTTAGATTTGGTTTGGTTATTTGGGGTGCTGATTCGGAAAATTGCAATGGATAGACAACATCAGCTCTAGTTTCTGATACAGAACATACGGCATCCAGTAGTCACCATCTGTTCACCCACAGAAAATCATATTTAATAATCTAGAGCTGATGTGGTCTATCCAAGGGATTGTGGCTGGTCAGCGACAGGGAAAGAATGGCAGGCATTGCGAAAGGAGCGGAAATAAAATTTGTTGTTGTTTATTTGTTCAGTCGCTTCCGACTCTTCGTATCCTCCTGGACCAGCCAACGCCAGAGCTCCCTGTTTACCATCACCACCCCCAGCTCCTTCAGAGTTAAGCCAGTCACTTCAAGGATACCATCCATCCATCTTCACTTTATTTCTTAATTAGTCGCTCTCCACCAAGGTGCTCCGAGCAACTTACAGTCTAAAATAGCATTTACACAATATAAAAACATTCAACATAAAAACATTCAACAGTGACTATTTGGCAAATTAGATCTGATTACTTAAATGCACAACCAAACAGCCAAGTCTTGAGTGCCTTTACAAAAGGTTGCCCTTGGTTGGCCATTATTCCCTTTTCCTTCCATTTTCCCCAGCATCATTGTCTTCTCTAAGCTTTTCTGTCTTCTCATTATGGGGACAAAGTACTTCATCTTTGCCTCTAATATCCTTCCCTCCAATGAGCAGTCGGACTTTATTTCCTGAAGTATGAACTGGTTGGATATTCTCGCGGTCCAAGGCACTCTCAGAATTTTCCTCCAACACCACAGTTCAAAAGCATCTATCTTCCTTTGCTCAGTCTTCCTGATGGCCCAGCTCTCACATCTGTAGGTTACTATGGGGAATACCATTGCTTTAACTATGTGGATCTTCATTGCCAGTGTGATGTCTCTACTCTTCACTATCTTATCAAGATTGGTCATTGCTCTCTTCCCAAGAAGTAAATGTCTTCTGATTTCCTGGCTGCAGTCTGCAGTAAGGAGCAGAAATAAAATAAATACAATAAAATAAATTTTAAAAAAGGAAGGAAGCTCATGGACCAGATTTTCACCCTTGTGGCCCACTGGTGGTCCCCGGCCTGCAGTTTATGAACCACTGTCTTAAAGAAAAACAGATGTTCCTTTATGTCAGGAAAGCAGAAACATTGTGTCTTACTTTCATCTCAGAATATTTCCTTTGGCCACAGAAAATATGGCTCCTTGCACAGTGGGAACGTAAGCTATGTAGAATTTTCAGTATTTCCAAATATTGAAAATTCAGGGAAGAAAACAGCTTCAAGTTTTAGATATATTTTTCTTAAAATGTATTTAAACTAAGCACAGAAACAATTTCTACAGCATTATGTAATCTAGTAAGATCTTCTGGGGAGGCCCTGCCACCATCACAGGCGCAGTTGGCGGGGACGAGAGACAGGGCCTTCTCAGTGATTGCCCCCCGGTTATGTAACTCCCTGGCAATATTAGATCAGCTCCCTCCCTCCTGTCCTTCAGAAGGATGGTGAAGACCTGGCTGTGGGACTACACCTTTGTGGCAGTGAAATGAGGCAAAATGGTGTCCTAAGATGGTTCTAAAGCAACTTTTAATCTGAATATAAGTGATTTTAATGTTTATATATATTTATGGTTTTATGTCCCGGCATTGAATGTTTGCTGTATATATGTTGTGCTCCACCCTGAGTCCCTTGCAAGGTGAGAAGGGTGGAATATAAATGTTTTAAATAAATAATGCCTAGGGTTTCCACCTTTAAACACTTGTGGAAGTTGTTGGAAGTGCCAAAGCCCATTGAGTAGGAGATCAAAATTGTCAGTGGAAGCCCACAAGGTGGTACTCTAGAGTCACAAACAGCACACCGAAAGGGAGGAACCCAGGAAAGGTGACTAGTGCTACCTTTAAGGTGAGTTTATTTGTCTGTCAGATGGGAAGTTCTGGGCCAGTCCCTTTAAAGCAAGTCAGGCAAGGGAGTTGATTGGGAGAGAACTGGTTTCACCACTCCTCTGCCTCGAGTCTTTCATCATAACTCAGGGACAGGCAGGCCGATTTTGCAATGCCTGAGCCCCACTCAGTCAAACGGCTCTAGACAGAGCCTCGTGCAGAAGGGCAGCCCACGAGTGCCCAGATGTCTGGAACTTGTAGCCAAGGAAGTGAGCAAGCTGTAGACTGGCAGAGCTGAAGAGCAGTCCAAGGGTCTGTGAGCAGGATTGCCTCCACAGGGAATATGGTGCTGAGATTGCCTAGTGTGAAGGCATGTCTTCCCTTTGAGCTCCTTCTCCTGGTGTGGGTTTCCCTTCCGCATGAAGTACCTGGAAAAGAAGGTAAGCAAGCCTTGCAAGTGGCCATTGGGAAGAGCTCTGAGGTCTGGAGTTTTGGATCAACCAGAACAAACCCCTCAGAAAGGTATCAGAGTGGGGAATGAAAAACTGGAATAGAAACACAGAAAACCGGCATGCTTTCTTAGAAGCCGGAAATTGGGAAGAGCACATGAGAAGTTGCAAAGTGTGTGAACTTGAATGCAAGGGAATGTTTGGGGAATAAACAAAGGATCACCTCACACATTCCTTGAAGTGTACACCTAACACTGTGGAAGCTCATGTTTCACACAAGTACACTGGTCAATGAGTTGCACTTGTTTGCAGAAGCCAATGGCAGTAACTTTGATTGGTGGCTTTGTAACAGGCATCTGATCCTGTCAGAACTTGGAAGATAAGCAGGATCAACCTGGTTAATTCCTGGATGGGAAACCGCCAATAAATACTGTAGGCCAGGGGTCCTCAAACTTTTAAAGCAGAGGGCCAGTTTATGGTTCTTCAGACTGTTGGAGGACGAGACTATCATCTGAGAAAAACCAGAATGAATTCCTGTACACACTGCACATATCTTATTTGTAGCGCCAAAAAACCCCACTAAAGAATAATACAGTGTTTGAAATGAAGTACAATCTTAACCAACAGAAACGTACCAGTATTTCAATGGGAAGTGTGAGCCTGCTTTTGGATGAAGAGATTGTCAAGTGAATTAGAATTGTTGTTGTATTCCTTCAAGTTGTTTCTGACTTAGGATGATTCTAAGTCTAAAGTTTAGGGTGGGTGGCGGGGAAATGAACTTGGAGGGCCGCATTTGGCCTTAGTTTGGGGACTCCTGCTGTAGGCTATAGCAGCTTAAAGAAAGGACATGGCAGAACCAACTCTGAATATTCCTTGCCTTTAAAAAACCTTATAAAATTAATCGAGTCTATATAAGTTGACAGGAGACTTGAAGGTACATACCTACACAAAATATGGGAAACAGCCCTGGGTTAAGGAAGTTACAGACTGTAGGCTATAGTTCAAAGGACGGAACTGGCAAAACTGCCTCTGAATATTCTTTGCCTTAGAAAACACTATGAAATTTATGTGATCACTGTATAGCAGCAGGTGACTTGAAGGCATATACTTACCTACAATAAGCGAAATGGCCCTATGTGAAGGAGGTCACAGACGGAAAAGCCCAGTTAATTGTTTTCTATCTTGATCCATCATAATGTTCTCCCTAGCTTGCAGATGCTATGAAATTGACCCCCAATAAGCGAAGAGGAGAGGTGGATCTCTCAAAATCATGCATGATTGCCTATAGGCCCTTCCACACAGCCCTATATTCCAGAATATCAAGGCAGAAAATCCCACAATATCCGAGTGTGGACTCAGATATCCCAGTTCAAAGCAGATATTGTGGGATTTTCTGCCTTGATATTCTGGGATATAGGGCTGTGTGGAAGGGCCCTGAGGTTGGATCTATATAATCCAGTTCAAAGCAAATATTCTGGATTCAGAAATGGAATTATATGGCAGTGTAGACGGGGCTTGACTGATCAATTACCATCTTGAGTATATACAGCAGTTGCTTGGAAATCATCATCATCATCATCATCATCATCATCATCATTATTTATATCCCACCTTTCTCCCCATGAGACTCAAGATGGCTAACATCTATCCACACTGAACAATTTAAAAAGAGCAATACAAAAGTTCATAAAGCAATTAAATAATAACAGTGTGACAAAAATTAAAATACAGCAAATATATTAAAATGGCCTTTAAAATTCATATAAAATTGAAGAGAGAGGGGGCCAGAGGACAGTTCCACCTTGTCTCCTGTGCTATGCTAATAATATAATATAATGTAATATAATATATTGTATATAATATAATATTTATAATATTATAATGTAATGCAATATAATACTACTAATAATACGATATTATAATTATATATTTACTAGCTGTCCCCTGCCACGCATTGCTGTGGCCTAGTCTATTTATCTGGAAAATAAAGTAATGAGAAAGTGTTGGTTTGTAATATATGTAATTTCTTTATGCTTGTGGGTAAACAGTATTTCTTGTTGTTTCTTTGTCAGTGTTGATGTGGAGAATGTCTGGTTTGCCCACCCTGGAACATGCAACATATCATTGTCTTTCTTTAAGGGTCCCTTAAAGTCTATGATACTATATCTCTCTGTGTGTGAATCATATCTATCTATCTATCTATCTATCTATCTATCTATCTATCTATCATCTATCTATCTGTCTATATCTATGGCTTGATGGCTCTTTGTCAGGAGGACTTTGATTATGTTTTCTTGCCCTGGTGAAGGGAGTTGGACTCGATGGCCTTAAGTATTTCCTGTTGGTCATGCGGATTCAGAATGGTCTTTGATTGTAGGTGAACTGTGAATCCCAGTGACTACAGCTCCCGAATGTCAAGGTCTATTTCCTCCAAACTCCGCCTGTGTTCATATTTGGCTGTATTGAGTGCTTGTGCCAAGTTTGGTCCAGATCCATCATTGTTTGAGTCCACAGTGCTCTCTGGATGTAGGTGAACTACAACTCCCAAACTCAAGGTCAATGCCCACCAAACCCTTCCAGTATTTTCTGTTGGTCATGGGAGTCCTGTGTGCCACGTTTGGTTCAATTCCATCATTGATGGAGTTCAGAATGCTCTCTGGTTGTAGGTGAACTATAAATCCCAGCAACTACAACTCCCAAATGACAAAATCTTAATTTTTTGAGTGATGGTCACTCCTTGTGTTGTGAGACGTTCTGTTGCCAAATTTGGTGTGATTTCGTTAATTGGTTCTTTTGTTTTTAAGGAACTCATTATGCACAGAGCATTTTTATACATATAGATATTACATGTAATATTACTAATAATATTACAATATAATGGTATAGTACAATATAGTAATATTGAATACTGATTTTGTACTATGCTAATAATATAATATATTGTATGTATATATATCTTGTAAGCCGCTCTGAGTCCCCTTCGGGGTGAGAAGGGCGGCATATAAATGTCGTAAATAAATAAATATCCCCCAGGGAATATCACCCATCTATAATTTAGATATAGTTCAGATACTTCGCAGACGAGGATTGCATAGGACATTGTAATGTCGTGGTAATTACTGGCATTAATTAGTCACAACACTGTGATCAACATCGTGTCAGTCAAAGGACTTCAGCTTAACACTCTATTAATAACTGGCAGCATGTACTAGAATGACCCTCAGTTCCAGGTTACTAAAATATTGACATAACGCCTGATGAAATAACCAAAATACACAGAAATTTAGCAATCATAAACAACAACTTGTGAATCTGTGGTTCAATTAATGCTTTCCGGTTGAAGATGTAGAATGTACAGTTTTCCAGATAACGTCAAAGCTGAATTAATGATGCTTCCAGACAAAGTTTTTATCTACTATGCTGACAAAAGTTTATCAAGGGCCCAAACAATGGCATCTTGTAATCCTCGTTGATCTGCCTCACCAACCAAATTATTCCTTCCCTACCCCACATCATGTGTTAAGGACTAAAAGATGGAATAATTGCATAATACCCTTTGATGCATACTGCCAGAGCTCCATTTAGAAGCTGCCCATTTAAACCTTTGTTTCAACATACCTTCCCACATTTAACAGGTGAAAACTGGCTAAGCAACATCAGAGTGTGGTCAAGATGGCAAAAGTTATGAATGAGAAAGAAGGCATAAGCTAGGAGAAATGAAGCCTTTTCTTCTTTTTCATCAAGGGTCTGGAGAACAAACCCTATGAGGAGCGGCTAAAGAGCTGGGCATTTTTAGCCTGCAGAAGAGAAAACTGAGAGGAGACATGATAGCCATGTATAAATATGTGAGGGGAATTCATAGGGAGGAGGGAGCAAGCTTGTTTTCTGCTGCCCTGGAGACTAGGACGTAGAACAATGGCTTCAAATGACAGGAAAGGAGATTCAACCTGGGCATTAGGAAGAACTTCCTAACTGTGAGAGCTGTTCAGCAGTGGAACTCTCTGCCCCAGAGTGTGGTGGAGGCTCCTTCTATGGAGGCTTTTAAACAGAGGCTGGATGGCCATCTGTTGGGGGTGATTTGAATGCGATTTTCCTGCTTCTTGGCTGGGGGTTGGACTGGATGGCCCATGTGGTCTCTTCCAACTCGATGATTCTATGATTAAGTCCAAAGGGAAAGGCCAAATACACCTCCTTCTTTCTTAATTAGGTATATACCACTTTTGCACTCTTAATAATAATAATAATAATAATAATAATAATTATTATTATTATTATTATTATTATTATTATTTTATACCCCGCCAGCCATCTCTCCTAGGGACTCAAGGCAGCTTACAAGGGACAAGCCCAAAAACAGTTAAAACAGACAAATAAAACACTTTCCAATTAAAAATATCAGGTAAAAGCAATACAACATAATTATACACAATATAAGAGCAATATGGCTGAAAAGAAAGAACATAGTTGAGGTACAAATTCAATAAATGCAATACATTTTACAGGAGTGCAAGAAAAGTGCAACAAACCAGGAGATTGGGCAGGAAATATCATCATAAAGCATGTTGAGATAGATCAAATGAGGTCCAGAATAAAGTGCTATACTCAATAGGGACAGAAAAAATTACTGGCGAACTGCTTAATCGAAAGCATACTTGAACATCCAGGTTTTTAGTTGTCTCAATTTGCAGCCGCTGAACTCAATTTGCAGCCACTGAAGTAAGCTGAGGACAAAAGAAGGAAGCAGCAGGAGGAGGAGAGAGAAACCAGGACACTTTTAGAGCAGTAGATAAACTGGGATGACAGAGTAATGAGGGCAGTCCCCTTCACTTTGGCTTTTTGTGGCACATTTTCCACAATCATCATCACAAACACCACCAACACCTCCTATCATCACTATTCATTGTTTTTCAGAAAAAAAACATGTTATTTGATAACTCCATTAGTAATTACTAATATAACACCTAAACACATCATTTTAAATAGCTGCTGCC